CCTATTGTGGTTGTAGTTAAATTGTTGTATTTAACCCTTGTATACTGTTCAGAGTTACTTCTGTAGGATAGGCAATCCTTCTTATTTGTTTGTTTGTTTTGTTTGACTGTATCAGTGGTGGGATTCAAATATTTGAACAACTCTTTCTCTGTGTGGATGCTGCTTCCGGAAGTCCGTTCTGGGGCTGGGCAACAAAAAACTATCTACCAGTTCTGCCGAAGTGGTGCGAACCGGCTGAATCCCATCACTGGTCTATATCCCACCTTTGTTATATTCATAAATAATTCAAGGTGATGAATATACCTAATATTCCTTCCTCTTCCTGTTTCCCCACAAAAACCTTGGGAGATGAGGTGGGTTGAGAGAGAGAGAGTGTGATTGGTGCCAAGTCACTCATCTGGCTTTCATGACTAAAGTGGAACTAGAACTCACAGTTTCTAATCTGGTGCCTTAACCACTAATAAGTGACAGACTAATAGAAAGAATAGGTCTCATGTTAAACTCTTATAGAAAGTCCTACTTTTACTAACCAGAAAGGTGGCAATCATAGCTATAACAATAACTGAGAGACTGAAATTTTCTTTTTCGGTTCCTGGCTATGATCTTGATTATTATATACACTTGTAATCTCAAAGGACTGTTGGAGGCTGACTTTTCCTTTTCCAGCATACATAGAAATCTTAGAAAAGTACAAAAAATCATCAATAAATTGTAGTCATGGTGTAATTAGTGAAATTCTGAAGAGGGGATTTTTGAGGGGGAGGATAACGAATAAACTGAAAAAGGAGGAATAACTTGGTGAACTTGGTCTTTCAAATCTGGTTGTTTTTTTTTCAATTGCATGAGTGTCATCTGCTGGTTAAGGGAAATATAGCCACACACTTCTTTTGTTTTTCTCTGCTTCTCTTTTACTCTGACAAATTCAGCTATGCTAAGTATTGCTTCTGCAGTTTTTGAAATATTCTCATTCAGTCTGATAACGTAGTTCTTTTTTAAAAAAAATCCCTAAAAATAACATTATCATAATAATAGACTCTTCCAATTACTTTGTTATACTGTAGTTGATGAAGTGCAATCATTTCTTGTCATTTGTAGTACAGCCAATTCACCAGAGATCTGCATGGAACTTTTTTCTGATCAGGCCTCATAGAAAGCCATGCCAGACTGGATGCAAAATGAGAATGAAGTTGGGGTAGTTGGGAGATATTTCATGGGGGGAACAAAACTATTAGGAAAGAAGGATAGATTTTTGTACAATATTGATAATAGAATAGAATAGAATAGAATAGAATAGAATAGAATAGAATAGAATAGAATAGAATAAACTTTATTATGGTTTGTGACTTGCTATGCTTTTATTGAGCGACTAATTGATTCTTATTCTTGCTTTAAGCTCCTTCTCAGTGAAATATTCACAGCCAGAATTTCTAGCCTCTTTCACATCATCTTATTTCTTTCAACTTTAGATATGCTCAGAGCTCAGTTTCTGATTTTTTAAAAAAGATCTTTACAACTTTTTCACATTATGTTTTATTTGTTTTATCTAGTTACTAAACATAACATTCATCATTATACCCGCTACACATCTAGAGATAATTTTAAAAATACCATGAAACTGGGTACGTAAAAGCAAACAGTGTGTCAAGCAAACACAATGTGAGACATATTTTTTTAATTAAAATGAAAAATTAAGTATACAACTTTCTATAGCAATGAAACTCTTATGGCATCAAAGCTTCTTTACTACTTGCCTAAGGTAGAAAGAAACCAGCTCATTTCTCTTTAGAGTACTTCAATTGCAATTTTGCTATAAAATGCAGGAACAAATAATCTGGTTCCAAATTATCTAGAGATTTATAGGTTTGAATCGTAGGCAAAAACCCTGAAAGCAAAAAAAAAAAAAAGTAATACAATCTATAAATTACATTTGTGCAAAAGTCTAGCCCCTGCGTTTTTCATTCTTTCTAGTTTCCAATAATCTTATTTATAGTGTAAAAATAGGAGATGATTAAAGTATAATTCATATGCCTAGATTATCTTTCTTCAAGGAAAAGTGCAGTTAACATGCCATATCAACATTATTGCATCAGGGTTACGGGTGCGCATGTATGTATTTACGGTAGTTGTCCCAATAGTGACTAAAACGGTAATCACTTTTTCAACAGAGCCACCCACTTGGGTAAGCAAACCAAAAAGCGGAATTTTCAGTGTTGGTGGAAGTTTTGTACTGTTTTGTGAAGCTATTGGCTTTCCTGAGCCAAGTATAAAATGGAAAAAAAACGGCATTCCTCTTGAAGGTAAGCATAGGATATAAACCTACAGTTCAATATAAAGTGGCCTTTTCCAATGTGATGATTCCAGATGCATAAGATTTCAGCTTCCATTATTCCTAATTATTGGTCCTATTGACTGGATATGTTACTTAAAATCCAACACCACCAAATTAGAGAATGCTGGTATGAAAGAAACCCAGTGAGATTGTTTCCATTTAATCAGTTTTATTGGACTAACTTCCCAATAATAGAGATATTGTGATTGAGTGACTATTTGATAAAGTTGTCTGGATTCCTTTCATTTTCATAGATAATAAGCTGTGCCTCTCCAGCCATAACGCATATAATATCAACTGATCTGCAATTGGAAAACTAATTCCATCTAATCATTGACTGCAGCTATGGCTCCCCATAATTTTTGGCATGGTGGGCATATTTAGATGGATACTCTTGCATAATAGCCATTGAGGAGATGTCCATTCAAAAAATAGCTTGCACAACCATTTAGAAATATTTTTAATATGCATATCTCCGCCTAGAAAAAGATCATTAAGACAAGGGATAACAATAAATGTCCTAGAAAACTAGAAAGGATGTCAGGGAACAATCTCACCAGTAATTTTCTTTGAGTATCCACTGCATGATCTCAAAATATGAGATGTATCAATTAACCCCTCCCCAAGTTAATATCTCTGTACTCCCCTATAAACAAAGTAAAGAACAATAATACAAAGAAAACACTACTAAGAAAAGGCTGCCATATAAAGTGGTGAAGTTTCCTTCATCAAGGGTCTTCCAAAAGAGACTGAATAGTCATTTTTTCAGAGATGCTCTACTACATAAGCAAGGGATGGACTGGATAACCTCAAAGGTTAACTTCCAGCTCTCATGTTGCATAATTCTAAGAATCTTGGTTAAGAAGATTATTGTATTTAGTATAGGAATTAATCATGTCCTATGGTAGATGCCTGACTAGCCCAAGGTGAAAAGTGAAATACAATTACAACTGCAATTGGCAGTGCTTTTTTTGTAAAAAAAAAAAAAAGGTGCCGGAACTCACACACGTCATACAACCTGCCTTGCCTACCCTACAAGGTTCCATCCAAAAAAGGTGCCGGAACTCCGTTCTGGGCGTTCTATGACAAAAAAAGCCCTGGCAATTGGGACTATAATTTCCATTCTAAGCAAGGTGGTTGTTAAATGTGTTGTGCATAATTTTACAACCTTTTTCCCCCCCTATGGCTGTTAAGTGAATCACTATAGTTATTAAGTGAATCATGTAGTTGTTAAAATAATTTGGCTTTCCTCATTAAATTTTTAGGGGAATATTTATACTTTCAAGTGCAGTTTATAATGTCTTAGTGGTCTTCTATCCAAGTATTAGTCAGGCATGGTCATATTTCGTTTCCAAGTCCAGATAGGTTAAGATTACTAGATTTCAAATTGAAGGTTAATACTAAATAACTTACCGCTAGGGCAGAAACAAAGGTAAGTTTAGAAAGTTTAGAAACTATGTTACTAGGAAAATAGATATCTGCAGTTTGTTTTAAGCTTTAAAGACTAACCATGTGTCACCAGCACGGAATTTATCAGTACAGCTAACTCATAATCAAGTCTAATACAAACCCTTTATGAGTAATTGCATCTAGAAATGTTAAGCTTAAAGCAAAATGAGTCTTATTTATGATGTCATTGTTTAACACTAATTGTTATTTGCATAATTAAATTTGTGTTAATGCAGCACATAATACAAAGATTAATGAACGGTCTCTACACATTCTTCCCTTTTTTGTACGACTAATATTTGCCAGAGGAAAACTTAAGTGCTAGTGAAGAATTGGAAGTCTCTTATTCAAACCATTTCTTATCGTATTGGCAGATAATGAAATAAAATCCAGCAGAGCTGTTTTTTCAACAAGGGAGATCAGCATCACTGACTTGGAACTGAGTGACACTGCTGTGTACCAGTGTGAGGCTACCAACAAGCATGGCACTATCCTGGCCACAGCAAACATTGATGTTCTCAGTAAGTTATTCTTACAGGGAATAGCAGGCTCAGGTTTTTTTGCTCATACCTGCCAGCCCAAGGATCAGAAAGCAATTTGGTGTGAAGAGAGCTACTGCCTCTCACAGGAGAAAATGCTGAGTTACATGGATCTAATTACATCTGTCTTTGTAAGCAAGAGATGATATTAATTATTATAAATTAACAAGGTAATTAAGTATCTGGGGGACGGTGTAAGGGTACATTATATTTAGGATGGTAGATCTATCCATTTTTTAAAATTAGAAAGATCCATGCGTAATTATAGTGACCCACCAAAAATGTTTAATACCTTTATTTCTGCTCAGAATGGCATTTGTACAAATAATGTTAATCTAGCAGGAAAAACACTATTCATACAGCCGAGAGAAATAAAGGGTAGACGGAAATAAAAGACATCCTTCCATGACAGATTTTAAAAGCTAATTATTGCTGAACCAATTTCCCCTTATGATTATGTCCCTGAATTTGTTAACAGATTACTAAATATAGATGGAAATTGGGAAAGTCAAAAAAGTGCATTAAATCCTCAGAAAAGCTTTAGCATATCTTAAACTGTCCAAAGATCAGGAATGTTCACTTCCATCTCTTTTCTACTAAAATTCCATTTGCATTGTTTATGATTGTGGGAAAAGGAGATTATTTTTTTCAGGAGTAAAATAAGTATAGCTCAAAATCACAAAATTTGCCCTAGGATTAAGAATATTTCTTTTTTTATCACCATTGACTCTTTCTTTACTAATTTACATATGCTTTGTCAGATATTCCTCCAGAAATATTAACTCCAGATGGTGAAGAATATGTGGCAGTAACGGGTTATTCAAGTCACTTGTACTGTCAGTTTTTTGCAGTACCCACACCAGATATTTCTTGGTAAGCTTTATTTTGTTTCCCTGGTAAGCTCTTTTGTCATAAATTGTTGTTGACATCTTTTAATCCATTTTTTATTTGATTGCCAGAAAAAAAAAGAATTTTCGCATTATATAAGCTACCTTTGTTTAAAATATTTCAAGCGTTAACATGATAGTGTTAATGAAGCTGTACATTGTTAGTCACAGAAATGATAAGCTCTCAATTTGCTCAGAGGGTTTCCTTTGTCAGTAATAAATTAGATGAATTCCAACGTAATTTTGAAAAGATACTATTGTACTCCAATCCTCCTTAAAGTTTCCTACAAATTTCTTCAGATGGCAAAGAAACTTTATCTCTTTGACAGTATGTCTGAAGTTAAACTAGACTGCCCTCTGTGTATTGTCTAGCTATTCTTTATCCATTTCTATGATCAAATAATTCTAAACACTCATGTTCTGCATCTTTTTTTGCCTTATAACACTGCCCAGCATCTCCACCTGAGCATTACATAGAGAGAACATTCTAGAAACTGTAAGCAAACAATTGTCAATTACCAAATTTCTACAATCTGGAAGATGTTTCCTTATTTTTCCCTTACACACACATATATACACAATGCACAAACAACTTTACATGATCAAATCAATAATATCAATTGCGATTGATTTTATAGGAGCCATGGTTGTGCACTGGTTAGAAAGCCGTATTGCAGGCTAACTCTGTCCACTGCCAAGAGTTCCATCCTGACCTGCTCAAGGTTGACTCAGCCTGCCAAGGTCAGGAAAATGAGGACCCAGATTGTTGGGGGCAATATTGTGACTCCGTAAACAACTTAGAGAGTGCTGTAAAGCACTATGAAGTGGTATTTAAGTCTCAGTGCTATTGCTATTGCTATTATCCATATTTCCTGGGTTACAAATCAGNGAATTAATCTTCATTTTAAATAAGACGGGGTCACGTTATTCTCCAAAGCACCAGAGGGCAGGACAAGAAACAATGGTTGAAAACTGAACAAAGAGAGAAGCAACCTAGAATTAAGGAGAAACTTCCTGACAGTGAGGACAATCAACCAGTAAAACAGCTTGCCTCCAGAAATCATGGAGAAATCATCACTGGAGATTTTTAAGAAGAGGCTAGACAGTCACTTGTCTAAAATGGTATAGGTTCTCCTGCTTAAGCGGGAGGCTGGATTAGAAGACCTCCAAGGTCCCTTCCAGCTCTATTCTATATCTATATCTGTACTATTTTTTGTCATATGTAATCTAAAATAGATTACATGTCCATTCATTGTTTTTATTTTTAAAACTATTTAAAAGTTTTCTTATATTTTTCTTTTCATACTTTTAAACATTTTATGTAATTTTATTTTTGCATTTTTATGATTTTTTTTAAAAAATGTTTGTTCGTCTCCCTTCTTATGCTGTGCACCAATTACACCCACTCTTGTACCAGGAGGTCTGGTCATTTCTTGGTTGGATTACTGCAACATGCTCTACAGGGGGCTGCCCTTGAAAACTATTTGGAAATTACAACTGGTCCAGAATGCAGCGGCATGGACCATTTGGAGCATCCCACAGTTTGCCCATATTACCTCACTGCATTGGTTTCCAGTTTCTTTCCAGGTGCAATTCAAGGTGCTGGTAAAGGGATTTTACTTCTTTAAAAGCCCTAAATGGCACTGAGTTGAAACCCAAAGGTGCTCTTTCAAAAGGCAACTGGACTTTCTTTGTTTTTCCTTGAAGAAATTTCACTTCTCATCCAAGAAGCTTTTTCAAGAGAACTGAAGAAACTTCTTGGATGAGAAGCAAAACATCTTCAAGGAAAAACAAAGGAAGTGTCAACGCTGTGACAAACCAAATTGAAGCCATTTTTATTTTTATTTATTTATTTATTTAATTTAATTTATATGCCGCCCTTCTCCCGACGGGACTCAGGGCGGCGCACAACATACTTAAAACCAAAACATATATACAATCCCCCCCTTAAAACCGAATTAAACCAAATTTAAAGTTGCGTCTTCCAAATTCCTAAAAAACCCAGTATAAAATCCACCCTAGGTCAGGTCCGCTT